AATGTAAAGTATTTATACTAAATCCTAATTAAGGTGGTTAAAACGAAAATAGACTCCTAAGATTACAAATATATCAAATAAAATAGAATCCTAATCAAATAAAGTAATTTCGAAAAAAAAAAAATTGGCTCCCAAAAATAGCCATGCGGCCGCATAGTGTTTTTCTATGTGATCGCATGGAACAACTCGAAACCCAATTTTTGTATTCGGTAGACCTCCATGTGGCCGCATGGTGTTTTTAGCCATGCGGTTGCATGGTTATAATTTAAACTCCCCTTTTTTCTTATATATAATTTAGTGCTGTTTTCGGAATGTACTCATGGGCGAAAATTCGACACCCGAGCTGAAAGTTATGCACATTTTCATCCACGCTACTTGTTCGCTGCTTGTACCAAGTTTATCCATTTGGTTTCTTCTTTCGAGCCCAACATGAAATTTGTTTCTTGACTTGTTAACTTTGACACTTCGTCCACCATAACTTGAGCAAGCATTCACATCTCCTCTTTCACCCGCTTTGCCCTCGAACGTGTCATTGGGCCTCCTTCGATAATCAATGAGTCTCGTCCTGATCTCGACTTCGTTGGGATTGACTCCTGGATCATATCAACCCACTTCAGATAATAAATCTAGTACATATTTTTTTGGGAAAGAAATATACCCTTTATTGATCTGGCTTCTTCAATCCCTAAGAAATATTTTAGATCCCCAAGGTTCTTAATTTCAAATTCATTTGCAAAATTTTACCGAAGCCTGTTGATCTCTTCCATGTCATTTCCTGTAATAATCATGTCATCCACATAGATTATTAGAGCTATTACCTTTCCCCGTCTATGCTTCAAGAATAAAGTCTCTTGGTAGTCTATGCCACATGTTTGTCTGTATCCTTTCGCCATAAGTCTTGCCTTATATCTTTCAATGGATCCATTAGCTTTATGTTTGATGCAGAAAACCCACTTACACGCTATTGTCTTCTTTCCTTCTGGTAATGGAACAAGATTCCATGTTTTATTTTTTTGTAGTGCTTCCATTTCTTCCTTTATCGTTTGAGCCCACTTTGAATCTTCTAAAGCCTCTTGTACTTCGTTGAAAACCTGGCATGTAGACAAATTTTATACAAATACCTTGAGAGTTTTCTCTAATTTTTGAGTCAATACGTAGTTTGCAATTGGATACTTCGATCTCATTTCTTCTAAATCAGGTGAATACCCCAAAAAATACAACGTATTGCACATGGATCAAGCTCAGTGCGTTGATTTTTATGGAGATGAACATAGATGACACATCCAAATACTCAAGGAAGAATCATCAAAACATATGGTAGAGAAATGTGACTGGAGAGAGTCTATAATAGAGTTTCAAAATTTAACACTTTTGAAGGCATACGATTCAGTAGATGTACTGTCTGACCATAGCAGAAGCCCAATATCTATTTCGCATATGTGCTCCAATCAATAAAGCACGAGCAGTTTCTAAAATGTGCCTATTTTTTCGTTCGGCCACCCCATTCTGTTATAGTGTTTGAATGTATGAGGTTTCATGAAGAAGACCGTAACTTTGGAACTAAGCTTGAAATTCCTGATTAACATATTCCCCACCATTGTCAGAGCAAAGGATCTTGGATTTTGCTAGAAATTGAGCCTCGATCATCGCATATAAAGACTTAAACACATGGAAGACATCATTTTTGTGTTTCAGCAAATGTAACTAAGTTATTCGAGTACAGTCATCAACAAATGTCATGAACCAACGAATTCCAGCGAAAGTAGTAATTGGAGAGGGTCCCCAAACATCAGAATGTATTAAAGCAAATGGAACATCACTTTTATTCAAGCTTATTGGAAAAGATATAGGATGACTTTTAGCTAACATGCAAGTTTCACAATTAAAGTCTGAATGATGTAAAGTTGAAAATAAGCTAGAAATAGATATTTCATATAATTGAAAGATGGATGTCCCAATCGACGATGCTATAGCCATATTTGCCGCTCTTTGACAGTAGTTGAGTGGTGCATGTTATTTGTTTTCCTCGGGCTAAAATCATCCATGTAGTACAACCCCTCTCTCTTAGTACCACGCCCAGCGATCTTTTGTGTGAGAATATCATGAAAGAGACAAAAAGTATGATAGATTAAAGCAACATAGTTTAGTTCTTCAGTAGTTTGGGCTACAGATAATAATTTATTTGAGAGAGATGGAACAAGTAAAGTACTGGATAAAGAGAGAGGGGGGTGATAAAGCAACGGTTCCAGCTCATGTAACAGGGTATGTGACTCTATTAGCATTAGCAACACTACTTCGGTTTTGTTGGGTAACCTTGGCAACGTCGTTGATGTCGAAAGTCATGTAATTGGTTGCCCTCGAGTCAACAATCCAACCACCATAATTATCTTGACTGGAACTAAGTAATACAAAGCCACATTTACCTTGGTTATTGGGAGAATTTGACTCATCTAATGGTTCCACTAGTGGGGTAAAAGAAAATAATTGTTTTGCATTTGCCAAAGTAGCTCGTCCCGGTTCGCCATTGGTGTTAGCTTTGCATTCGCGATGTTTTCGTGCCTTAAGTTCATTCCACTACTCTTGGTATCCATTTAACTTAAAACAAGTTTCATGACGATACTTCATGTTTCCATAGTGTGTACAACCTCCATTGGATTGTGTTTTACCCTTATAGGTTGTATTGGCCTTTCCACCACCTGTTGAGGAAGATCCAACCTTGGATATTTGGAGCGTTGTTTGCTTCTAGGGTCTTGTCTTAACTCCTTTAAAGGCCATATCAGTGGCCTATATAAGTTCTATGTTTGACTTCATGACATATTTTCATATAGCTTCTCTTCGAACATGGGCATAGGCCTGCTCAATTGTAAGGAATGGGCACATTTGGAGCACATCAGCCCTGATTCTATCTAGGTAATCATCCAGACCATCAAGAAAGAGATAGACTCTATCTTCTTGTATAGCCAAGTTATATCTCTTTATATCAGCAGGACATTCCACCGGGTTCAGCCTACGAAAATTGATCTCTCTCCACAAGCCTTGTTGACCATTGTAATATTCTTCAACGGATCCTCAAGCTTGTCTCATTCTAGTCACATGTCTCTTCAAACCATACACTTGAGAAGTGTCTATTCCATCGAAATAAGTAGTAGCAATTGCATCCCATACCATTTTTACAGTAGGAAAGCGAATAAAAATTTTCGATTAGAGCCGGGTCCATGGAATTAATTGTCCATCACTTCACAATTGCATTCTCGGTTTTCCATTTCCAAAACCTTGGGTTTGATGATTCAGGTTGTAGAATGTCTCCATTGATATATCCCAAGTTGTCTTTGCCAGAGATATATATCTCAACATCTTAGGACTATAAACCATAGTTTGATCCATCTAGCTTGATGCCGATCGGGGCAGCAGGAGGTTTATAGGTCGGTACTTGATTCTCGGTTTGATTTTGGGATAGGACTTGCATCATTCGAGTCGTTAAATTATCGAAGATGGAAGCAGTAGAGTTCTCATCATGTCTCTGGTCTAACACTTCGTCTGTTGATTCTTCTATAGTTTCTGATTAGTTTTGGTAAGGTCTTTGCTGTAGCAGAAATAGTGTAGAGAGTAAAATAAGAGAGCTAATCTAGGCTAAGAATTTGGCTGACCCTTAAACAAATGGAATTTCATATTACATCCGGGTAATTAACAGTACCTACTATTTTCCAATATGGTATTAGTGACAACTCATGCCAACAAACTTGAATGTTCGATTTTGGTAATATCTAATATCACGTAGAGGATTGACACATGATTATATATATATTTGAAATATATTCGTACCTATTCTGGTTAGGTAAACCTATTAAATCAGATCAATTATACTAAACCGTATATAGCCAAATAATGATGGTTTCACATTGAATATCCCATTTATACATTAGTTTGAGATCAACAATAAATTATCTAGTAAGGGAGTTTATCTTCGGCCTCTCCCTCTCTCTCTCTCTCCCTGTTTTATTTCTAGAAGTTTCAATTCTAACAAGGAATAAATTACAGCTATGCTGAAAATAATGCTTAATGAATATTTATCCATTTTCTATACAAGCTTTTGTTGATGAATATGCAAATGGAAAATGCTAAGTGTCTCGATTAATCTCTCAATGATTGTAATATTTCTCCATATGCACCAGATTCCAAAAGGGCTATGAGTTTAAGTGCTTTTTCTTGAACGCGTGGAGCTAACATTGTGCATGTTCTGTTATAATGTTGGATGCCTGTTGGATCCAAAATCTTAGCCTCAAAACTTTGCAGTACTATGATTTACACCGTGTAAGTACCCTTTAAATTCTTTGAACTGTAGTGTGTAAGTGAATCTTGGTTATCATTCCATGGAAGGTTCTGTCTTAATAGAATCAAAGCAGCAACTTGCTTCAACAATGTGTGACTAGGTGAAAACTGACCACAAAACAAAATTTACGAGGTATTGGGTTCAGCCTCATGGATTTCTTGAGACCATGCCAGACAATTGAAACACCACAGAGACGTGTGTTAATTTTGCCTTGTAACAGGGTTATTATATAAACTCTTATAAGAAAAATAATTGGAGAATGCTATTCTCTTATTTATGTATCGGTAGTTTTGATCTTTGCTTCTCTGCATTCAAGGAATGCTATATTTTTCCAAAAAAATCCGTTGTGTTTTTATCTGCAGGAGAAGTATTTAAATATATTGTCCTTTATGATAATCCAAAGATTCAAATCTAGGTTTTATAGTGTTTGGTAGTATCACTTATTGGTCTAATAGTAGTCGGCTTATAGCTTGATAGTTTTTCGTTTTTTAATGTTAATTATATATTCAGAACTTGCTACGTGTAAAATATACATCTTTCATCTTTATGATCAAACTTGTCGAAGGTATATCCAGGGATCACTGATTCAAAAAAATTCCTATGACATGTCGAAGAAGCAAAAGATGCATCTGAGATTGTACGATAATCAAAATAGGCCTGAAAGATTAAGATGCAGTCAGAGGTTCATTTTGTCAATGGATATTATAGCACATATCACACACTCATGATTCCAGCAATCCTGCATACATCAAGCACTCATGATTCTAGCAATCCCATGTAATTAGACAATTGCACAAGTCAACATTTATTTCTTTCCATGTAAAGCAAATGCCTATATAGCTATATATTGACATACGAAATCAATGAGAATGCATCACAAAATATTTAGCCAAATCATCTTTTACATGGTATCAGAGCATTCCTTGATCCTGAAATTCCTCTATATCGTTTGACTCCAATGGAATCCTCATTTGAAGTTACCTCTGAAATCTCCTCTCCATATCACCTTCACCCCTCTGATTCTCCCAGCCTCATTCTCATCTCCTGCAATCTCACCGGTGATAACTTTCCCAAATGGCAATGCACTCTTCGTCAAGCCCTCAATGCCAAGAACAAACTATGCTTTGTTGATGGCACCCTCAATGCCCCACCCACCACTTCACCCGATTATGCCCAATGGAGCCGCACCAAGGACATGGTCCTCACTTGGATCCTCAACACCATCACTCCTTTTCTATCAAATTCCCTGGACTACCATGATGACCCACGTGCTCTTTGGCTTGACCTCGAGTCTTGTTTTTGCCATGGCAACAATGCTCGCCTCTTTCACCTCAAAAGAGAAATTTCCATATTCCATCAAAACCAATCATCCATACCAAATTATTACAATAGCATCAAATAATTATGGGATGAATTAGCCAATATCCAAACACCAATTGATGCTACCACTTTGGAGAAGAGAGCTGAGAACAAATGGGTGTTCCAATTCCTCTTGGGACTCATCAATTCATTCGTTGCCGTTCAATCCCAAATTCTTGCCACTGATCCTCTCCTACCTCTTAACAAAGTTTTCTCCATCCTCTTTCAAGAAGAACAGCAAAGGATCCTTCATGTCTCACGCACTCCATCGGAAAATGTTGCCCTCACTGCTCGGAGTTCTCACCATGACCGACCACCTTTCAAGTGCACCGAATACGGTAAAGATGGGCATTTGCGCAACCGTTGCTGGCTGATAATCGGCTATCCCCCTGGACGCGAACCCCGCAATCATCGCAAGCTATCACTGCTCGGAAAACCCCCTTCCGCAATAGTTCACCTTACCAAATCTTTCTCTAGTCCAGTGCCTGGCCTCTTGTTGGAGAGCTATCAACAACTCATGAACCTCTTGAAAAACCCATTCCCAAATCCAAATTTCGTTGGTAACTCCCTCTCAACTCTCTCATTTTTTGATCCTCAAATTGATTGGATAATCGATAGTGGCTCCACTGATCATATGAGCCCCTGACGATCCTCCTTCTTGGACCTTCGATTGCCATCCTCAAGCCACACGATTTGGCTACCCACAAGAAACATGGTTCCTATTGAAGGAATAGGCACAGTTCGCCTATATGATTCCCTAACCCTTCATAATGTCCCTCACTTTAATTACAATCTCCTATCTATCCCTCAACTCACTTGCACTAAAACTTATCTTGTTCTTTGCTCATCCACTAAATGTCTTTTTAGGACCTTCAATTAAAGAGGTTGACTGAAGCGGGTGAAGCTTACAATGGGCACATCCTCAGGCCACAAAAATCTGTTGCATTTTTCGTACACAATCTTGACAATAAGACCCTATGGCATCAACGCGTAGGTCGCCCTTCTAGCTTTATTATTCCTACAATTTTCATAGTCCTTCTACTCTTTCTCATTGTGATTTTTGTGCTCGTTCTAAACACACCCGCTTACCATTTCTCAATCATGCTAATAAAAGTACGACTCCTTTTAATTGAATTTATTGTAATATTTGGAGTGGTTACTCTACTACTTCTATCTGTGGCACCCACTATTTCTTGACAATTGTTGATGATTTTTCACGCACTACCTAGATTTATTTAATGCGTTTTAAATCAGAAACTTTTACTCAGTTAATGCATTTTTTCGCCCTTATTAAAAATCAATTTACCTCCAATGTCAAACTTATCCGTATTGATAATGGCCAAGAATTTCTTTCTCAAAATCTCCAAAACTAGTTTCATACCCATGGCATCATTCATGAGCGTACTTGCGTTGAAACTCCTCAACAAAATGGTGATGCAAAGCGTAAACATCGTCACCTCTTGAATGTTGCTCGCAGCCTTCGTTTTCAAGCACATCTACCCCCTACATTTTTTAGGCGAATGCATTCTTTAGGCTGCTTACCTCATCAATAGGACTCCTAGCAAATCTCTTCAAAATCAAAGTCCTTATCAATTACTCAAAAAAACTCCACACAACTACAATCACCTTCGGGTGTTTGGTTGCCTTTGCTATGCTCAAACTCTTACTGCCCACCAAGACAAATTTTCTCCCCGTGCACTCCGCTGCGTCTTTCTTGGTTACTAGAACAACTGAAAAGCATACAAGTTATACAATCTTGACACGCATGCCATTTTTTACTCCCGCGACGTCGCCTTTTATGAAAATCAATTTCCATTCGACAATCATATCCCTTCCCATACACCAAACAACACTATCCTTACTTATCCCAGAACATACTTCCACTTCCCTAAACCTACCTCCAAATTCCACCCCTCTCGTTCCCAACCCTCATGACCCTAACCCTTCCAATTCTACACCTCCCGCCCCTCCCACTTCTCGGCCACGCTGCACTATCACTCGATCAGCATAATTTCTTGAATATGTTTGTCCCACCATTTCCACGGAGTCCATTACTACTTCAACCGCTACACAAGCCTCGGGTATTTCTTACCCCTTATCTACTTTTCTTTTATACTCTCATTTTTCTCCTAACCATTTTTCTTTCTTAACTGCACTTACTACCTTTGTTGATCCTATTTGTTATTCAAAAGCTAATCAAAATTCTCATTGGCGTGAAGCCATGACCTCTAAACTTCGTGCCCTAGAAGAAAACTCCACTTGGACATTAGAACCTCTCCCACCTGGTAAAAAACCCATCAGTTGCAAATGGGTCGTTAAAACCAAATTCTGAGCATATGGTGCCGTTGAGCGTCACAAAGCTCGACTCGTGGCAAAAGGCTACACTCAAGTTGAAGGCATTGATTTTCATGGAACTTTTGCCCCCGATTGCCAAAATGACCACAATCCGCTGTGTTCTTGCAATTGCCGCCGCCAAACATTGGATTATCCACCAAATGGATGTTAACAATGCATTCTTACATGGCGACCTTGATGAAGAAGTTTATATGACACAATCACCCAGTTATTGTTTTCAGGGGGAGACACATGTTTGCCGTCTTCGGAAATCTCTCTACGATCTCAAGTAGGCTTCCCGGAACTGGTTTTTTAAACTAACATATGTTATTCTTATTGTAGGTTTTGTCCAATCACAGGCCAATCACTCTCTCTTTACAATCATTACTGCCACCAACATTACCATTGCTCATTTATGTTGACATCTTGGTCGTCGGTAATGATCTTCCTCAGATAAAAAAAATACGGTTCATGCTCTTCAAGAGCAATTAATATTCTTCAAGAATATAGAAAATTACATGAGGATTTACTCTTCGGGAGTAAATACATAATTTATGTTAGACTTTATTTAATTATACTCTTCGAGAGCAAATAAAATCTAACTAGAATATTTGTAAATAATATTGTGCTAATTCAAGAGCAAGAATATTTTATAATATGAACATAATAATTAATTGAACGATATTAATCGAACAATAACCAAGAAGAAGAAAAAAATTAAGATAAGATAGTTGAATAAATATATTTTTCTCACCAGATTTTAGAGCATACAAATCTCTCTAAGCAATCATACCAATATAATTAAAACACATATTCCGCTTAAATCGTCGAACACATAAAAGACAAGCACCAACAAGTTTTCCCAAATTATATCTCCAGGCTCATGGTTGTGGTATTCAGCCAAATTTGCAACCAATGCCACCATCTCATTCCTATCACTTCGGTTGGCCTCTTGAAAAAAATACATTTTATAATGACTTTGTAATTATTACAAAATAATGATTACTTGGATGCCACTGTATAATGATTATGGAATGTGAAAGAGACATGCATGCAGAAGGAATCTTAAGTAATCGACAATGGAGTAGGAGAGATGGGTTTCACGGGGAACAAAAAAAATAGCCACCAATTTTGGAGAAACGAGGCTGCCACTTCTCCTCTAAAAGGTAGTGAAGATCGGGTGTATGTATAAAAAAAAATTCACATATCACCAAATTAATTTTGGTGTAAGTGATAGATGATTATGCTTTAAAAAAAATTACTACCTTCACTAAAATTTGAAGAATTAAGCGTTCGTGCTGATAACGTGTTATGAAGAGAGAGAGAGAGAGAAGAGAATCAGAGATGTTAATAGACTTGTGTGTATTATAATGAGAACCAAAACCCTATATTTATAGGGAATGAATAGGGATACATATGGTAATAATATTTAGGGCTGCAAGGGTACAAGTGTCATTCACATTAAATTCTAATTTATTTTCCTTTTATAACAAATATGAGAGTATATTTGTCATTTCACAAGAATTTATTGAGAAAATGAAATAAAATGGAGCCTTCCGCACCTCAAAAGTCGTATGGGAGGATTTTCAGCCGATTTTAAAAGGTAAGGGAGTACTCCACAATAAATCCTGAGGATGGAATTGGGGAGATGCTGCGACAAACCTAAAAAAAAATGTGTGGTGTCATTTACCGTACATCTAAGCATAACATTATCTCATTTACTGTGAAAGAGAGCAGAAAGAGTTAATGCTTGAGGAAAGCAATATGTTATAACAATTGTGAAGTAAAATTAGTTCACCCTATTATTCAAACGATCGTCCAACTACTATGAATATTGCCTTGTTATTTCTAAGCTAATGCCGGGAAATAAGCCATAACTTATTGACTTTGATTGTTAAGTTTAGTACTTCGAGAAAATTGTGGATCAAGATCACGGTTAGAACCTTGCAAGTCAGAAAATTGTGAACATGTTTGGCTGGGTTTAAAGCCTTGAAACAAAAGATGAGAATCTTGTCTAGTTAATAGATGAAAGTGAATAAATCAACAATACCAAAATTATAAGATTATATATTGAAAGATGATGTATTTTCATTTCTGTATTCATTAGAGTTCAAACCCGTAAAACGTATACCTTAAGATCTCAAAATATTTGGAGCAGTGAAATTCCATTGACAGCGACGGCTACGTCATACAAGAATAAATGAAAACGTTACACTATTGACACGGTATCCACAGTTCAGTACCGTGTGCAATCGAACTCCATAGTGTTACTAAAACTAAAATCACAATTGGCTAGGCCGCCTCCTTGCATCAGTTCGCGTTCTCTTTACAGGCTTCGCCCACCCAACAGTGCTGCCAATACTACCACTATTCCCCGGTTGAGGAGAAAGGGCAGCCCACCCTTGTTGGGTATTTTGATGGCTAAATCCCACATCCTTCCCGCCTGAGTTCGAGCCGGAACTTCGGATATTTCGAATGAGGCCAGTAGGAGAGACGGGACCTGCTGACGCTTTCCCCAACTTCACAGAAGTCTTCTCTCTATCTTTCCTTTTCTTCTTGCAGATAACAAGGTCTCCTGGATGAGTGAGCGTGCGCGATTCGTCCGGTTGGCTAAGATCCCGACCGCTGCTACTTCCAAGTCTCAACTCCTTTTGAGGCAAAATGCTCCCTAAATTAGTGTCTTCAACAGTATCAACAGACTCTCGACTCTGTGACTTCTGTAGAGGAACTGGATCAGAGTTCACACCCTTCACTAATTTATGGCGCTTGTTCTGACCAGCAAGTACCTGTCTTGATGATGAACCCAAGGCCGGTGTAGATACTGGGCTGAAGAAAGAGACTGAATTTTTGGCTTCTTCAAAATCAGCGTCCGGAAATGCTATCTTCAAGATATCAAAGAAAAGATCGTGCACCTTTCTTGCTTCAGATCTCACCTATCGCATTAAATTAGTTTAGTTCATTTAGCACATCCTGATGGGGGCACGCATATAACCCAGACATACGAGTGAGGCTATCATTTATTGGGGCTTTTAGTTTAACAATGCCCCAAAGCTCATTCAGTTATTTATCATCATAACTGATTTATTGGTTTAGCCTCACCCGAAATAACAAAAAATGTAGGCCGTTCAAGGTTTCATGACTGGTGAAACCTATAAAATGGAAGTTATATGACTATGTTCACCTCTCCGAGTTAAATTAGACAAATTAGCTTGACCCATCGAAAGCTGTCTTCTATGAGAAGGTAGATGAAAATTTAGTTTTGACAAGTGAGCATGTGCATTCCATTTGAAATTTTATAAATAGATCTATCAATCATTCATGGCCTTGAATCACTAAAATTTAGTGTTCGAGGTGTGAATCTATTTTGGATAAATTTGATGCTTATGAAAACATATTTTCAGGGCGTTACTTGTCATTGTAAAGGAAAATGTCTCAGAAGCATATTTTAAAATAAATTTTAGTGCAAGCCTAATTTAGAACCAACATGGAGTAAACAATATAAAGAGCAACAAAAATCTGTGAAATGATAGAACTGAAAAGTAGTACCTCATATGACAACCCGTAATATTGCATCCCACACTTCAACATAAGCTGAACATCAGATACAAGCTCCATTACTCCACTGTACTCAGATTTGTCAATGCGCCGATTGATCTTTTGTAAGTCCAGAAAGTTATCTCCCATCGCACCCGTGGCACTGGAATTTTCAATTCTTTTCCACAGTTCACTTAGCAGCGGAATTATTTGATGCCCTTCCTTGTCTATTCTCCTTTGGAGCTTGCTAATAACATTCTTGCACTGAAATAAGACAACATTGGTTGAATAAAAATGACCAACAAGATAAAATTGGAATGTGATGGCGATGGTAGGCACGGAACAAAAAATTCGAAGACAGAGTGCTCAATGAAAATTTTCATATGCAAGACTTGCCACCATGCGCTATCTATATAAATAAACTCTGTTACACATCATCCCTCTGGTAAAAGATTCCATAAAATAAGACCAAAAAAGCTACTAGTTCAACTAGATGAATTTCCTACATTATTGCAAAATCCAAGATGCCTTTCCAAAATGTACAGAGAACGACTACCTTCAACCATACTCTTTAATATGCTGACCCCTGGATCGATCCCCAAAGGGAAACAAGAAAATAGGAGGAAAAGAAAATACAAATACAATAAGCCATGCAACTGCAACCCTGGCCAATATGAGCTTTGTTCTCTTGAATAAGGCAAAGACACAACCACAACCCTGGGGACTAAGAGATTCGTCCACTTTGGCTTCGCAAAAATATTGTTCTTAAAAAATCTCATTATTAATTTTCTCTCCCACCAGCTACCATTTCCAAATTGTAAAAATGGACCCAAACTTATCCAAAAACTTTCTGTGTAAGTAATAAGGCCCCATGTTTCATTTCCTATCATGTATCAAGGAGTACAAATCGTGAAGAGAGGAAAATCTTCATACCTTAATACTCTTTACATAAAGCCCAAAGACCAAATTGAAATTAAATTTATCATATATCAATTTATAACAGTTCTCATTTGCTTGGAATAACTTGATAATTAAACCCAATGGAAAACATCAATGTTCTACTTTCAAGCATTAATTGAGAATTTCATTGCAAACTGATTGAAAGCATGTTTTTGGACTTTAACTGCTAAGGTTAACACAAGGCATCAGTCTCATCATATGCCACTAACATAGATCAAAAGAAACTTGTTCAATATAACAAAGTACAGCACAAGCACATGCAACATAGTCAAAACAATACAATTAGTTCCAATGATTTAAACAAATCATGTAGATAGAAAAAGACAACCCATATCGATTCCTCAATTCACAATCAAAAGAGAGATGCAATAAGAAAAGCTCATGCAAAGAACAAGTGAAACCAATCTTCATTTGTGAATCCAGTGAACGCAATAGAATAGGAATGGCCTATAGCTGCTTACCTTTCTCTGGATGACCTCAGACATCTTACTGCCACCACTTTTAGCCCCTTTCATGACTTTGCTATCCCAATTTTCTCTTGGGTATTCATCATCATCAATTGAAGGAGAAGAAACACGATTTCCCCTGCCAGATTTTCCTGAAACTTGCAATTGAGCCGAACTTATAAGTTTCCTTGAGGGTAAATTCCGCCTATTTTTGAAGGATGAATCGGTTTTGTCATGTTTTAACAAACTAGATTTTCCATGAACTTTAAGTGCACTGTTATCCCTAGCTTGTGAGTCATATTTGTGATCCATCTGGAATGGCAACTGAGAAGCATCCCCGCAATGAATTGACAACTTCTCGCCATACTTCTCTTCTGATCTATCGGCAGTATGCTGTGGACGAAGCCGAATACTTCGTTTCCGTTTTATTTTAGGCTGCAAAACTTGTTCATCTTCACCTTCATCTCGATCTTGCATCCAACTACCAGATTGCTGGTGGTCAATATGAGAATCCCCAGAAACAGCAATTTCCCCTTCCTCTAATTCATCCGCCTGGCAAATTTGAAAATGAAAGCATCTAAGAAACTCAGTAAGTTAAAGTATTTGGTTTGAAGGGAGAGAAGAGGATGTTAAATGAGCCATACCAACTTCTTTGAACGGGAATTAGACCTGCCATCTAAAGCAGAAAGAGATCCAAACTTCTGAGAAGATGCAGAAGAAACTATTTGCACTAATCTTCGACTGTGTGAAGAAGAGCCGGATGAACCACCTTCTCCAAGTATACCATTGTTTCCCGTGATTTCTAAAGCTTTTTGGTATTTATATGCATCAGCAGAAAGAGGACCATCTTCTTCTGACAGATCTTTACTAACTGGAGCTGGTGCCCCAGTAAACTCATCATCTTCAAATTCCCCAACTTCTTCTTGTAGAGAATGTTCAATCCTCCAGGAACTAGATTCAGAAAAATCATCAGTTTCTTCATCCAATTCTGTGTAAATAGGAACTTTCCCCTTTGGCCGCCCTCTTTTTCTTGGCATCTCAGAAGCCACTTCATTGGAATTCATGCTGATACTTCCTCTGAATAAGGTATTCTTTGATGGTTTCTTCGATAAATTAGCAACGGTAGTGTTCACTTCCTTGGAACTAGTACGAAGCCACAGTGGAACCTCATCATATCGAGTCATCTCCTCTGTCCAGTCAAGTTCTTCATCCATTTGATCAAAGAGCTCCAGTTCTTCTTCACTTCGAGCAATCATGCGGTTTACTTCATGAAGTGAGGGAACATCGTGTACTGTTTCTTGATATCTCTCTTCATCATGCAGCAGAGTTTCTAAGGTCATGCGTCTCTCTTCATGTGTAGTCCTCTGATCAAATCGCCCGGCATTTATAACTTCATCAGCCATGTCAATCTTATACTGTTGGATATTATTCCTAATGAGGCTCTCAATGGAACCCATATATCGGTCCTTACCAGCTAGGTCATCATCTGAATCAAATGTACCTCCACTCAAGAATTCATCCTCTTTCTGATGGCTGGAGATTTTGTCAACTACAGCTTCCATATAAATGACTTTCACTTCCCTAGTCTGCCCAATACGGTGGGCTCGAGCAACAGCCTGTTCCTCATTTTTTGGGTTTGGATCAGGATCATATATGACAACAGTATCAGCAGACTGAAGATTCAAACCTCTCCCAGCAGCACGAATACTGAGCAAGAAGATAAAGCAATCAGTATCAGGACTGTTGAAGTCCAAAATAGCAGATTCACGATCTTCTAAGCTAGTTGTCCCATCAATTCGCCTGTAGACAAGCCGTTGCCACTGTAAATATTCCTCCATTATATCAAGAAGTTTTGTCATTGTACTAAACAGCAGTACTCGATGTCCTGTTCTGTGGAGCTTCATCAGAATCCTATCCAGAACCCACAATTTTCCACACGATCGCACAAGAAAATCCTTTGATAAGTCACTAAAGTAAGGGTAATTGAGCAATGGGTGATTGCAAGCTTTTCTGAGCTCCATACATCTATTATTCAAAGGTTTGTATATTTTAGCCTGATAATTAGGATTTTTTTGAACCCTGCGCTTTTCATCTTCTGGATCAACTCGAAGAGTTCCAGTGGATTTGATCCAGTCATAAATGGCACTCTGTATAGCCGACATTCTGCATTTTAAAACAACTGAAACCTGCAGGCAAAATTGATGTCAGAAACAATCAGTCACAAGTTATATGGTACAGCTGTACAAGGCATACCTTGGGAGGAAGTGATCCCTCTACATCTTGAACACGCCGTCTAAGCATGAATGGCTCCAGAATTTGGTGAAGTCTATGGATAATGATTACCTTCTTTTCAGTCTCAAGCCAATCATCCTCAGTATTTTGTGCAAGTTCTTTTTGAAATGGCTGCGAGAACCAATCATGAAATGCCTTGCGATTGTCAAAGACTTCCGGGAGCAGTAGGTTTAAAAGTGACCAAAGTTCTTTAAGATCATTCTGCATACAGAGATATAAAGGTGTGATCCATTGACGTCTGGAGACACAAAACATATATATTTAGTTAAAAGTAAATATACGAGTTAAAAATCCTTTTCACTTCTCCAGTGAGGGTATATTAACCAATATAGTTTTCTGATTCAAGGAGATGGCAAATATACTAGACTCACCTAGACTTGAGTTTTGATCTCCGTTAACAACCATGGCAGCCTGGTCACTAGACAATAGAACCAGGAATAACTCTGATCAAAACTATTTAGCGAAACTCTAAATGCTAAGTGTGAAGTCATGAACAGCGTCTTATCATAATCCAACGAATCCCATCCTCAACTGATGTCAATGTAGTGTATTGTTATCAGGTTAGCCATAGAATCTCAAAAGATATCAAGGTGTTGATATAAGAACCAGAATTTATCAGTTTTGGCAGTCGTAGCAGGGTAAAGGATGACTGGTTGCTTAGGGTATTTGAGACACTGGCACTAAAAGGGTGTTTGGCACCCATTAATTTTTTTTAAAATTTTTGTCGTTCTTAATTATAACCACACATTCTCCAAATAAAATAATATTACACACAAATCTAAAACTTTTCATTACTTTTAAACCACACATTCTTCCATCAATCACTATTCCAAAATTTATAATTTCCCAAAAATGGGTGCCAAACACATGCTAAGACTCCGACAAGGATCTCATTTGAGTGAGCTCCAATGCAAAACTTTGTACAAAGATCGTGCGATAGTTAGTTAAATGTCAATGAACATTCAAAAAAAAACGTAAACTGAGAAAAAGAATTGTTTAAAACCAAAACATTATGCTAAAACTTAAATGTAATATGACATGCAAGGAAAACACTGCACCTAATCCACAAGGTGGTCTCAACAAACCTGCAACGGTGTCCCAGTGAGAAGCAAGCGTCTTTGGCAACGATATCTATCAAGATCACGAGCTAAAACCGATTCTCTATCCTTCATCCGTTGCGCTTCATCAATTATGATATACTTCCAGTCAACTTTTGACAGTTTTGAACGATCATACATAATGAATTCATAGGTTGTCACAAGGACATTAAACTTCAATGCTAACACTTCCTATATAACAGATTAAACAAGTGGGAGTTACAAATATTGAAGGCAATAATATCTATCAAGTTCGAATTTTACATGGCCAGATGCTCATCTTACTTGAGAAAACAATTTTGACCTTTGGTCTTTCGAACCAACATAGAAGATGCAAGAGACAGTTGGAAGCCAATTGTGAAACTCACTCTGGAATAATAGCTCAATTAGAGATGTCAAAGACAAGAAGAGTCCTATAATAAGAATCTAAATGGAAGCGAAAAGTAACCCAACCTTCCAGTTCACCATAACAGCATTAGGAACAATGATAAGATGTGGTCCATAATTTCCTTTGAACTCCATCAAATAAGCAATCAATGACATAACCTGTATGGCCGAAAAACAAAGGCAATCAACAATAATAGTATGTCTACAAACTCTCTGGCAGTCATTGAAACATTTTTACTACAAAATGATGGAGAAAAGACTCCAGCGTTACACTAAAACCATTGAGTAAAAAACGAGAGATTCCTCCTCGTGACATAGAAACACAGTCAAATATTCAAACCACTATTGATCAAAAAACACATCACCTGCACAGTCTTGCCAAGACCCATCTCATCTGCCAAAATTCCATTTAATTTGTTGTTATACAAAGAAAGCATCCACTGTAAACCAACCTAAAGATTCGAATAATAAACAATAAATCAATAACTAGAAGCAATTGACAAAATGAAAAGCAATGCAATGAGATAATGCACATCCAAGAGAGAGCAACATACAAGCTGATAATCTCGTAATGTTCCGGCTCGTAACATTGAGGGCTGCCTAATAACTATTTCATTTACAGCATGTGCGAGGTTGTAATACCTGGAGAAAACCAAGATGTGGAGAATGTCATGTCAAGCATAATCATGTATTGCAAAGAATAGGAAAGTAATTGTTTTTGAATCAATTATCATAAAGCGCCAACAATATACATATGGGATTATAGTGTGCAGACTACTAAGACTAAACACATAATGGTTATTTATAAAATTGCATATCCAATAGGATTCCCGACATCTAAACAATTATGACCACTACCAAACAATTCCTGTAGTGAATATTTGATGCACCGACATGAACACGAGTCTAACATGCAATTTTTCAAAAAAAATACCAACAGGACAAATCACCATGTAAAGGACCACAGCCCTTAGACCACTCACAAATGCAGCTTGCCAAACTTTGGCTGCACTTTGTAAATATTACTAATTTACTATAAATTGTAATATCCTTTCGGTTATAAAAGTTTATTTTAAGTGTAAAAGAAACCATGTAGATTGTAAACATTTATTATGATTATTCATCATCTACAAGTCTATTCCTATCATTTAGGTTTTTCTTACTTAAGCTACTACAGGGGTAGTTTGTATTCAAAGTTTAGTGTTAAGTTTTCTGGTGTTCGCTGCTATGGATCAGAATGCATCACACACCACTAAAGTGGTTGATAACAAAAAAAAGTACTAAACAATGTCTGAATGCGTTGATGGGCAAACTGCCAAGTTATGATGTCATTGATACCATTAATGAAAAGATTAAGATGGTCAAAACAGAGATTCATGAATTACACATTCAACTCGATGAAAGCCGAGCGGCTTGTGCAGTGATGACCGATGTCGTTGCAATCATTCTCAATCTACACGGAGAAATGAAAATATTGAGACTTCAATCATGGATATTTCAAAGTGCGCTAGGCAATAGGCAAGCCCCAGCACAAGAGTACGCACCTAGGCTCAAAACCCTAAAATCGCACTCTTAGAAAGGGGCACGAGATGCAAAGTCAATAATTCATGTTCGACTTGGAACAATACTTTCTTGTGACAATTATTGAAGATGAGGCACGAGGTGTAGATAACTACCATGTATCTATGTAAAGATGCGAAACTATGTTGGCGGACAAAATATACATATATCCATGCTAATAGAGCCACATAAACAATTGGAATCTTCTCAAGGAGGCGATCAAATCACAGTTTTCCCCCAAAAAATGTAGAATATATGGCCCGATGGCCACTACGAAAACTAAAGCACACATGCCCCCATTCAGCACTATGAAAACCTTTTCATGGCATATGTTGGATATCAAAAAATGATAAGCTCTTCATGTACATGATAGGGTTTAAATCGTGGGTACGGACTAAACTCCAACGATAAAATGTTATAAATTTAGCATGGCAATGGGAGCCACCGAATGCTTGATAGACTATCAATTTGAATCTAAAAAAGATGGATCATAAGGAAATAGCCAATCCAATAGAAGAGGAAACAGGTCTTACAAGCCCAACTCAAGTTGGAGACCACTATTCCCACCATAAAGGAAGTCATCAAGGCAACTATCAAGTTAGTTATCAGGGCAACCATGAAAACAACTAGAACAAAGGAAGGCGTCAGAAAGTAAATGGTTACTACTAGAAAGGATGGGTGTTTTTTATGTAACGGGGCTCATTGAGTGAAGGATTGCCCGCAAAAACAATTTGTAACTTCTTGCATCAGTTGGGAAATTAGGTAAGAAAGCATCTCAACCATACAATTAAGGACTTCAAGCGAAATGAACTCTCATTCACTCTTCAATGAGAAGGGATCGAGGAGGCGAGGATCTTAGGAAACAATAGGCAAAATGCTGGACAATAAGATTATCGTGCATGCAAAATCACCATATGGAGCTCCAGTGTTGTTGCAGAAAAGGTCGAGTCCCCCAATGTGATATGACTATCAAGCATTGAACAAAATCACTGTGAAGAACATTTATCGTATTCCACTTGTCGCGGATTGCTTCAACCATTTGAACAAGGCGAAGTATTACATAAAAATTGATCTAAAGCTTGGATACCAGCAAGTTCGAATCAAGGGATGAAGTGAACACTATAGTGGTAACCTAATATTAGGTATTCGAAGTTAAATTTAGCCTTCTGGCTTGACAAATGCTCCAGATACCTTTTGCACTCCACGGGATCCCGGATGGTTTGTGATGGTGTACTTGGACGACATCGTAATATATAGTGATATTGGAAGAACATGTATAGCATGTGAGAAAGATACTTACTTGGCTAAGGGAGAATAAACTTTACGCTAAATCATTTAAATGCTCATTTCCTAGACCTCAATTAACTTTCTAGGACACATTATTTATTTAGTTTTTTCTTATAACCGTAGATGTCCGAGTCAGCTTATGCGCACCTCGACTAATCTCACGGAGCCCTGAAGTTTACGGTCGGGTACTCACCTCAGTGGCATTGAGGGGATTCGAACTAGTGATTATCATGGAGCAAACACTTTCTAGGACACATTATTGAGCAAGGAACAGTTCACATGGATTCAAAGAAGGTTACACATTTCAAAGATTTGCAACCGTCAAGACATGTACATGATGTTCACTCGTTTTTTAAGTTAACCAATTATTATCAAAGATTTGTGAAGGGGTATTTAGAGATCTCATTACCACGGCCTAAATTAACAAAGAAGGAAAAAGCTTGGATTGATCAACACAATACCAAGTCGCTTTTGAGAAATTAAAAGAGGATATATGGATATATCTGGAATTAGCTGTGCCAACATGATTAAACCGACATATGCATCAGATTTTGCTTTCAAAGGAGTCCAAGGCAAGAAAAGCATCTGGTTACATATGAGTTGGAAGTTGAATAATGCAAAGCCTTGTCACTCAACGTATGAAAAATAAGTTGTTTAGCAGTAGTCCGTTGTAGAGTATGAAGTCACTATTTGCTCGTGTCTCCATCCACTTCGAAGACCAAGAATACTGTTGTTAGTAACTTCATGTTCCAACCAAAACTCTAGAGCAAGCGGGCTCGTTTACAAGAACTTCTTTTGATATTCAACTTTGTGCTAGAGTACATACTTTTTCAAATGCACTCAATCGACAAACTAACATAACCACTGTACTCAATAACAGCTATTTCAGGGAGAAAAGTTGCTATGAATAGAATAGACCAAATATGGGCACTTCCAGAGAAGGACCCTGCAACACAGTATTTGATTGACATTATTAAGCACGGCAAGACTTGTTAGTTCTGGCTGGATAAATCTTTTAAGGATAAAAGGAAACCAACTCTATGTACCAAAGGGCGGAGATTTGAGAAAATACTTAATCACAGAACCATGACACACTTTAGGTAGGACATCCACGAGAGACACACTTATCCCTTGGTGCAACGTATGTACTATTGGCACAAATGGGGGATGATATCGCAACCTATGTGAAAACTTACATGGTTTAGTCAGTTGGATAAGGCAGACCATCAGAAAAAGGTAGATTTGCCGGAGCCCATTATCGTCTCAACAAGGCCCTTTAAGAATATATCAATGGACTACATTGTTGAGTTACCAAAGGTTGGAGATCTTGACATTATCATTGTCATGGTAGACCATTCTATCAAAATATGCAACATTTATCTAAGCACCTAACCTAAGTACGTAGTTGCTCAACCATTCTTTAAACATATTGTTAAACATTGGAAAGTGCCTAATGATATGTCAATTATCGAGACACTTGATTCATGGGCAAATTTTAAATCGAATTATTCAAACTTCTTGGTTCAAATGCATAAGTTTTTATTTTCTGAGCATTTCAATTCTATACAGGATAAGTATCATAGGCACTTTATCTCTATTTTGCGGTTAAACTTCTGAATGTGACTCTGCTTTGCTCTAATGTACAAAAGTGTTCTTCCACCAATAAAAGTCCTTCTGAAATTATCAATGGCCAGCAACTATTATTCCCTCATACAGGGTGTGTTTGATGGATATTCTTGAGGAAAGAATATATCTTAATTAGTGATATGATGAGAAATATTTGGTTAAAAAGTAAGAAAATATTATTGATATGATGAAAAATATTATTTTATTGAAAAATGTGTGGTTGAAAATGAGTTTTAAAAAAATGTATTTTGAGAGAATGTGTACCAAACAAGGGCACAGTGAATATTGATCAAAATACCAAGTCCCCTCAAGCTAAGAGCTTGTCCCAAGAATGAAAATGCAATATTGAAATTGCTCTGAGCTAGCTTAAGAAAGTACAAATGCGATACAAAAGTATGCCGATCAAAAACGCATTTTCCTAGAATTCAACTTGGAAGATCCAGTGATAATTAAATTTTCCAATTAGAAATCATAAGCCTCAAGAGGAAAGATCTCATATTGATGCCAAAATATATTGGGCTATTACCCTTTATGAAGTGGATTGAGAAAGTCACATACAGAATAGAACTCCCTTCATGGTGCAAAACCCACACCATGTCCTCAATGTCAGTGTACTTAAATTATATTTTACAGATAAGGACAATACATCTAGATTTAAGCTAAAGGAACCTGAGTTCGAATTGTAGAAAGCAGGGAAAAAGGTTGTTGAAACTATTCTTGACTATCAAGTTATCGGGGTTTCCAAGAAAGACCATTCAGAGTACTTGATGAATTGGAGATAATGCAACATCGAGGTGAATACTTGGAAAAGAATTAAAGACCTTGAAACCTTTCAAACCACTAATTGATCATACATTGAAGGTGTCGAGGACGTCATCAAATAAAACGGGAGAATGTTAAGGACCACAGTTATGATTAGCCCCTTGAATACTCGCAACTCTAGTTTGCTCGAATTTGTCCGAACTTTGTAAGCCCCTATTTGGTGGGAATTAAAATCAGATTTTTAATAAATTTTGATAAAAATTGATGAAATGTATGTTTGAAAAGTTGGGGGCCCCCACAAAATATTTGGTTAAAATTAATTGTTGACTTTAACTTAAATTAAAATCACTACCAAACAAGGGCTAAATATTACTTTATAGTGTAATTTTCTTTCATTTGTAAAAGTTTATTTCAATTATTAAACCTTGCTATTTGTAAATTTTTATTATGAATCCTCAACTTTTAAATGTCCATTTCTGTCACTTAAGTTTTCTTACTTAAGCTATTATAAGAAGCAGTTGGTATTCGAAGTCAAGTGTCATGGTGTTTGTTCCTTCCACCAACAAACTATTTTCAATGCATTCAAGTCTTCAGTTAAAAAGCTTTCTTTGTGACCCAAGAATATGCGAAATGTACTACTGCCGCACAGTGCCCTATTTTGTGCTATAAGGAAAAGCGCCCAATCATACGTTGACACATTGATTAAATTCATTAAAATTCTTCAATTATATTATACCTTTAGTTTTATACTTAGTATTACTTTTTCTTGTTAGAAATCTTTTAAATAAGAGTACATATTTGTTATATTATAATTATTTTGAGTTAAAATTGTATATTACTGCTTCCAAAGAAAGAAAAATAAATATGGTAAAGTATCCAATAAGTGTCAGTATCTAACACGACACGACACATGTCGAGCAAACACAACACCCTGGTTTAAGTATCTGTGCAACACAGCCTATATGTAAATCATGATATGTTAAGAACAAATAAACTTACTTGTTAACAGATGCACTATCTTTTGGTGCATTCATTTCAGAGAATCTGTTCCGTATCATTACTTCCTCTCTAGCGCAGGCCGCTGCAGCTCTTACTTCTTCTTCAGAGAGGCCCTAACGTCCAGGGAAAGAGATTAATGACAATATTCAAAGACGAGGCTAATGCATAACAAATGTAATGACGTTCACTGGAGCACCAACTACATGAAACTAAGGACGGAAGAAGGTAAAAGAAAAATAGTGGATTGCTAAATTGATCCCTCCAGCCCAATGTGTCTCCCCTTATTCTTCGCTCTAATCAATACCATCCATGAATTAACATTTTAATACCAATATTTACTTTATAAATCATCATGACTTGACCACAAAAAGAAATAATAAACGTTTTGGAATTTCACTGCTGTTATTTGCCGACATTCTAGGAGGAAAATACAATTAATGTGACTACAAATTGGCCAATGTTCAACAAGCAACAAGCATGGCAGTGTCAAGATTGATTTACCATTACAAAAAAAGAAAATTACGTAGAATGTTCATAATGATTAACTGTTTCAAAGCATCTTCAAGGTTCACGTCAAAGAAGGTGGATTAGTATTACCTGAAAGTGGTTAGGGGTAAGAAAATCATTCAATGAGATGTACATCTCAGGTGGTGAGAATACCTAAAGATGCTCTTTGCACATATTAGGAGGCACTTTTGCCTAGGACATTTACTGTTCAGGAAATACATCCAGCGATATATAAACAAAGAAATTTTTTTCCCTTATTATCAAGAAAACCTAGATCTTTTCTCTCTTTTTGCAAATTGAGAGCGTAATACAATCTGGCTTTCTAACTCAATTAGCTTAACTGGTGATAGTAACTAATATCACACAAGATTTCCAACAAAAAATATATATACTGGTTCCTTTTTTTTTTGATAAGTATATATACTGGTTCCTACTGACAAAACTATTAGAAATGCACTAAATGATCAACCCCTCCACACCTAGATCATATTTCTCGCCTTTCAAAAGGCATTCGAAAGCATTGGTGCTTTGGTGTATGTTGTATGGAGAGAAAGAGAGAGTACCTGTGCACGTGCAGCAACAGCTGCGGCATTGGCAGCCTCCTCAACCTCCTGTTGATTTTTAGCAGCTGTTATTTTACTTCCCAGTTTGTGAAGATATTCTTCAGTTTGGGTTAAAAATGATGAGAGAACAGCATATCTTTCCGCAGCTTCCCCGGGTATATTAGTTTGTTGTTCCAGCAACATCTCCCTGTATCTCTCTACATCATTATTCTTCAATGCTTCCATCCTTTTATTACGACCATCATCCTTCCTCTTTGAGAACTCCCTCAAAATCCTTTCATGATACTTGTGGACCCCCCTATTCCGAGCAGTTCGAGCATCACGGATGGCCCAATGAGCCTCAAGAAGCTTCTTGCGCCACTGGAATATGGATTTCAGTTGCTTTTCTCTTGTTGCTCTCTGATTGGCCTGCGATTGTCTGTTAATCTCCTGTCGTTGACGCTCACATAGCCGAACAAATTTCCGATATGGTCTTTCAGGCATTGCCATAATTTCTAGTTGCTGTTGCTCAATCGCGTCCCTCAAGCGCGCCTGACGCTCTGCGAGCTGGAGTTTTTTTGATTCGATTTGTAGCCGTATGACAAGATCTGGTCTAATCCTCTTCCTCTCCAAGTTTACAGCTAATATTTTATCAATCTTCTCTATTTTTTCTGCCCTTTTCCTTTTCCAAATTTCTTCTTCCTCAAAAAGATCCTTAACATCGTATGACAGGGTTAAATTATTACTGTTATTCATCATAGATGATTCAAAAGTGTCGTGTTTCCTGGTGAAGACAGGGAAATCAAATAACGGCCCATGATACTTTCTTGTTGAACCTGCATCCTTAGGCTGAGTCATGTTACCTGCTTGAACAGGTTTCTTAACTTGAATTGCATCAGAAACAGCAGTATGTGTGGCCACTTCTTTACCCTTATCCGCAGATAAGTCAATCGTGACAGGCGTTTTTTGAATACCTGGTTCAGCCTCCTGATCAGATTTCCCCAAACGTTCTACAGTTTGCTGCTCTTCTTTTCCAGGAGCAACCTCTATCCCCAGTTCCTTTGTTGCAACTGGGATGCCACGCACATTAACTGTTGAAACAGCTAGCTTATCACCTGCTGAAACTTCCTCCTTTGAATCATATAGTCCACCAGATGATGTTACAACCTGAGGCCCCTTCTCACTTGATTCCACATGCCGTGCATGCCCATCTAAATTTTCTCCAGCTGATCTATCCTTATTAACAGTTCCAGGAGGATGAAACATCTGTTGGATCTGCAGCTCAAGTGGTGGCGGAGCAACAGCTTGGAGCAACTCACGTGGCAGAGTTCCGTCTCCTTTCTGAAGTAGGCCAGAGAAGAAATGGGTTGTGAAAGCAGAAATGTTTTTCAGAAAATTACCAAAAAGAAAGGTAACAAAAACAACTGTTGAATACTTGGAACAAGGCAATCAGAAGATTGAAAATTTGTAAATATTTAGGCAAGATGAGCAAACCTTCAGCCTCCTAAATGCAAGTATTTGTGCTTTAAGAACATGAAGTTGCTGCTTAGTAAAACCAATATGCTGCTGGCACATCTGAGGTCCACCCTGATATGTAGATGAATTTACAACACCCCCATCATTAGACGAAGTTGCACAATGCGAAGGAGATTGATTAAGTTGCCTGGCATGCTGCCCTTGAAGAACTTCCAGGCCAGACGCCGAATTTTTTGCTGGCAAAGAAATGTCCACTACCTGACTCAAATTTACAGATGACTGAAATGGATTTGTAGGGGACCTTGGGTTGCCAAGAAGAGCAGGATGTCTTGGGGGTAACTGGTTATCTCTACCATGCACAGAAAACTGTTGTACAGGATTATTACCAGAACTGTTAACGATAGTTGCATTCGAGGTTACACCAGGAGGATCACTACCAACTGTCTGCCTAGCATTAGAATAGCCAAATCTCCCTGAGACATCACCTGAGGAATTCCCACGGGGAGAACTTTCATTTGCAACTTTGGTTGTTGGAACCTGCCGTTTTGGCACAGTTGCAGACTGTGCACCAGCATTGCTTTCATTTGCTTTTTGTTGAGCAGCCATCTGGGCCTGCATGAGCGGAATAAGCTGTGCCAACATATTTGCACTTGCAGGATTTGACAGGTCAATATTCCGCTCAAGTGCCAAAGCCTGCATGGCCTGCACCTGAGCAGAAATCGGGTTGTTTGTCATATTCATGATATTTTGCTGGGATTGTGGCCCACCCTGCATAGATGCTGCTGGGACTACTTGACCAAGTAACGTTGGTTGGTTGTCGGGCTTTGGTTCAGTTCTCTGACCAGATATGGGCTGCTTAACAGTATCTGCTTTCTCAACCTGGCCAGACTGCTCAGATGATATCTTGGAGGAGGATGGCTGGGAATGATTAGCTGCATGGAGAGACATGAGCTCTTGCATTTTTATATTAGCCATCCGTATATCTTGATCTTTTCCAAGAGCACCAAACATTCCCGGTTTCATTTGGTGATGAGATTGCAATCCTGCTGTTGGTTTCTGTTGGGCGGCCTGGAAAGCATATTGCAGGTAAGCCTGTTGAATGGGATTCAACATTTGTTGCTCAAAGCCTTGACTCCTATTGAGAGCCTGCTCTGGAATGTTAAGAGAAACATGGTGTTGGCCTGAATCAGTGAACTTCCTAGACTGTTGAGGTATCTGCATGGACCCAGATGCTGAAGCAAAATTGGCCCCTCCATGGACATTGCCAGCTTGGTGAGCTAAAAGGGCCTCTTTTCCCTCAGATCTCCTCAAAAACTGCTGTTGCAATGGCTGCAAGTGATATTCAGAAAGAGAGGAGTAAGAACTAAATATATGCAGCTATGTTCATCAAAAAAATCAAAATTCCATAAATTGCAATTCAAGAAAATTACCAGAGAATATTCTGTCCGAGTATCCAATCAGTTTTTAAAAAGAACTAATACAAATGAGTTCAGTAAATTAGTTTCAGTAATGTTTCCAGGTTGTACCGAAAAAGGAGAAAATAGTATCGAGACATGTACAGACAGAAAGCATATTCGAATCACACTATCATCTATAGGTGGCATAAAATCTTAAAAGCTAGGTCTCTAAACTTAGATATGGCCAATTAGTTCCTAGAGCGCATAAACTGATCAAGTTATAAACAAATAATGCTGGAACATGAAGACGCATATTATTATGGCCAAAGACAGCTTGAACAACAAACAGAGCCCAAATTCTACACCTTTATTTGCATGAATTCTCAGCAGCCAATATTGCTCCTTGAAGTACACTGTTACCCCGTTTAACCTTTTTTTTTTAATCAAAACATGAAAAAAAGTTTAAACTAACTCCAATAGTGAGAACATTTGATCAGTTAGACTTGAACTATAACAGTATGAAATATTCAGTTGATACTAATTACAGTGAATGAAATATTCAAATGTCTACTCAACAGACAAAAAATTAGGAATTCGGACAGAGCTATCTTCTAAATTAAAAGGTTCACGACCCCATTGACACATAAGTGTTGGAGAAGATATAGAAACAGCAAACACTATGTGGCTTGACATTCATGAAAATGACTTGGTGGAAGAAAATTAGTTTTGCAGAATGAATTTAGACATAATTGGTATCTAACCAACACGTGTTATTAATCTTCCCATTACCTGCAACAGCTGCACAAGGTTAAGGAGATAAGGGCTTAAACCAACCATGTTCATAGCTAGAAATTAAAATATCATAGCAGTTAAAAGCAGAAGGAAAAACTTCAGTGAAATACAAATAATACTTTAATGAGAATGTTTGAAATGCAATCACAGACAAAGAGCACATGCAAGACATCATTAGGGTGGCTTCGGCATGTGGAGCACTTGCTTATCCCCTTTCGCATTTCAGGGACAAATTAATAAACGTCCAGATGCTCTTAATTCAATATTAAAGCTTCATCTGCTTTACATTGTTCCATGTGTAATTTGTCCTTAACGCGCTTATTCCCCAGGTGTCTAACTTTAATAACTTGTCAAATGAATTGATAGACCTCCAATTAGATTCACTTATGCAAGGAGAAAGAAAGGGAAAGAGACAACCAACGGTGGGGCAGCATAGCAGGAGATTAAGTACAATTTTAGTTAGTTAGCAGGGGTATATTGGAGAATAGAGTGAGAGAGGTAGTATTATTATGATAAATGTGAGAAGGGGGGCACAGGGGAGCATTCCATTTTTCACATGTTTAGTTAGGGGGAGAGATCCGGGCCTCTCAAATTGCTCTGGACTTGTTCATTCACATTCTGTTTGTTTTCCATCGAACTCATATTCAATAACAAGTGTTTGCAGTTTACAGCATATACATCCTTCCATATTACAATATCATATCCTAATTACTATCACAAATCACTCCTATTGTCTAACATCGCATTGTTCAATTGATCCAGTAGTTGTAACAGTAACAGCAGCAACCTCAGCAGCAGCAGGGATCCTATCATGAGTTCTCAAACATGACAAGTTTCAAGACATCATATAAGCAACAGTTTGGAAGGAAGAATGATGTATTGGACGTCCAATCACAACTGCAAATCATACAAGATAAAGAAAATAAATCTATTACACAAAGTCCGACAAAGACAGTTGTCAGGAAGTTGCAATATCTTTAAAATTAAAACAGCAGAAGGAATTATCCATGAGAAAGTTCTAAGATACTGAATAGCTCTACATATTCCAATATTATATCCTTGAGCACAATCGTCATTGAAGCTCAACATGTATGACACACACACTTGAAGTAGCACTTTGCAACCGCAAGCTTGTACATACAAATGATAAAGCAATCAGCTCCAGTCAAATGTCTGACCAGAAGGTACAAAATAATGATGTATTGAGGACAGGTGGTGGCTGGACAGTTTGACAAATGACCAAGTGCTTTTCAACCTTCCCCTAGGTAATAACAGCTCAAATATCATATTCCAGAGCTACCAACAATCTTTAACTCCTAAAATAACTGAATTTTACTTGAATGCAAGCGTGCTAACATTAACAGAAATGTCCCATCACTCAACAACTGCTGATGCTCAGAAGTAGATGCATGCATCACATAAAAAACATAAAAAAGAAATGATAAGTCTCATACATGAAAACACAAAATCTTGAGATATAGTTGCATATTCAATGCTATTTTGTCATAGATCAATTCATGCATACCTAGTTTTAGTTCTAGGTAAAACTACACTTCTCAATGTTCTCAGTTGTCAAAGAAAAAGCAAACTATCTGAAAGGCTCAATTTTGACAGGTACCTATATGTAATAGACGACACAACTCTGAGCAGACCCCAAGCAAAAACCTAGCTAAGTCCAAATCCTAACATAATCAATTATAAAGCTCAGAGCCACTCCAATTGGCTAAAATACAAGCAATATTTTCAAAGGGGGATTGTATTTTTAACTCCGGAAACTAAGATGAAACATATATAATTGTGAAGGCAATTTGCAAATAAAGAAACAAATCTCAAATTTCCTTCAAATACATTCGCAAATCAGCTAATTTCATGTAAATAAAAAATTCTGTAGATCAAGGAAAAAACACGAAGTGCGTACAACACATCCACTCATTCATATCAAACCTAACCTGTCTTTGCTGTTGTTGCTGCTGCTGCTGCTGCTGCTGCTGCTGATCAAATGCTAGGTGCGAAGCCGACACAGCTGAGGAGGAAGAGGACGGCGAAGCGGAGGCAGATGCCACCATGTTCCGCCCATGCCCTCCTCCCCCACCTCCTTGCTGCCCCCCAGCCCCGGACTGCATGCAAGAAACTCAACCTCCAAAAAATCCCAAAAAAACACCCACCTCAAAATTCATCAACACTTGAATTCCCAAAAAATCAAAACCCTTGAATCCGGATCGGTATTCACTCCGTCGTCATGTCCCACAAATATATGAGTTACACATTTTCTACACATATACACATATATCTGATTGTTAAAACTTCTATTTTTGGCAAAATGAAAAACCGAAAATTGTGGATGAGAAAAGGTGGAATTTTGGTGTGATAAACTTGAGACAGAGACAGATCGACCTACGGCCGGCGAATCCCCGAATTCGACGGATGTTTCCCTCACTAAAATTTCGTCCTATGTAATTTGGCAATTTTTTTTTTTTTTGCCATATGTTAAATTGAGGGTTAATTTTACAAATGGTCACTCAAGTTACATCAAAATATCAAAACGGTTACTGAAGTTACAAAATTTCACTAACGGTCACTCAAGTATCACCCGGTTGCAAGAATGGTCATTGAAGGACCAAATGAGTTGAAACTTGAACCATGAGGACCTACATCGCAAATTTGAACAAGAGCCATTTTTGTCCATTTTTCCGACGAGTTTGCAACCAAATTCTGGCGCCGTCCGTCCTCCTAAGCCGCCGGAAATTAGTAACGGCCACAAGCACTCATCTTCCTCTCCAATTAGCATCCAACCTCTCCTAATTTCATCAACCTATGTAATCGGAATCGATGCTCAAAGTTTACTGCCCATAAATTTGAAAATCGCCAAATAAGTTGAGCTCCGGTTGGAATTGGCCATGGCCCATACCTGGGCAAGCTGCTCCAGGTGAAGACGACCACGTCCATGGTGGTTCGCGATCGGGGATTGGTCGGAAGGCTCCAGAATTTTGGGTTTTAGCTCACGGTGTCGCGAAGTTCGAGACTGGCGAGGAACTTGCTGCACAATTACAATTTCCTGATTTTTTTGTGTTAAATTGGAGCCATGGACGTGGTCGTCTTCACCTGGAGAAGCTTGCCCAGGTATGGGTCGTGGCCAATTTCGACCGGAGCTAAACTTATTTGACGATTTTCAGATTTATGGGCAGTGAACTTTGAGCATCGATTCCGACTACATAGGTTGATGAAATTAGGAGAGGTTGGATGGTAATTGAAGAGGAAGATGAGTGCTTTCGGCCGGTACTAATTTTCGGCGGCTTAGGAGGATGAACGGCGTCGGAATTTGGTTGCAAAGTCGTCGGAAAAATGGACAAAAATGGCTCTTGTTCAAATTTGCGATGTAGGTCCTCATGGTTCAAGCTTCAACTGATTTGGTCCTTCAGTGACCATTCTTGAAACTGGCTGATACTTGAGTGACCGTTAGTGCAATTTTGTAACTTCAATGCCCGTTTTGACATTTTGGTGTAACTTGAGTGATCATTTGTGAAATTAACCCATGTAAAAACTTCATTTGAGAATTACAAACTAGGTCCTTTGATATTTCGACCGGAGCTCGACTTATTTGGCGATTTTCAGATTTATGGGCAGTGAACTTTGAGCATCGATTCCGACTACATAGGTTGATGAAATTAGGAGAGGTTGGATGGTAATTGAAGATGAAGATGAGTGCTTTCGGCCGGTACTAATTTCCGGCGGCTTAGGAGGACGGACGGCGCCGGAATTTGGTTGCAAAGTCGTCGGAAAAATGGACAAAAATGGCTCTTATTCAAATTTGCGATGTAAGTCCTCATGGTTCAAGCTTCAACTCATTTGGTCCTTTAGTGACCATTCTTGAAATCGGCTGATACTTGAGTGACCGTTAGTGCAATTTTGTAACTTCAATGCCCGTTTTGACATTTTGGTGTAACTTGAGTGATCATTTGTGAAATTAACCCATGTAAAAACTTCATTTGAGAATTACAAACTAGGTCCTTTGATACTTACCTCAGTGACCATTTTTGAAAGTGCCTGAAAGTTGAGTGACTGTTTATGCAAGTTTCGAACTTCAGTGACAATTTTGTAATTTTGCTGTAACTTCAGTGACCATTTGTGAAATTAACCCGTTAAATAGATATAGCCATCTATGTGGTATTGGAATTATACGGCGTCGCATTGAGGTGTCTAACTACGGTTAACGAGCATAAGTTTGGAAAATTCTGGGATACGATTGTCCTTGGAAAGTTGATATTTACGAAATTGCCTCAATTTATTGAGATCAAATGGACGACTGTGATTTTTTCGTGGTAGACACGAGCAACTCTTATTTGTCAAACGTGATTATATAGGTGAATTAAAGTATCTATTTATGCGTATACTCGCGATTTTTGTTTGGCATTTTAATAATTGTTGAATTAACTCTATTAACATTATCTACCTTGTTCATCTTTTATTGATAAAAAACAACTCTTCAGACCATTTCACAACTTTACATTGTTCCTTTGTGTTTCTATAACAAAGAAAATGAAAGAGCAACTGTTTTTTTTTTTTTAATTATGTATAGGTTCAAAATTGAAAGCTTTTTACCATCACCAGGGTTGCGACTAGGGTTTGGGGGTTAATGGTGGTGCCAATTTCAAAAATCAAATTTAAGAGTTATTTATACAAAAATTAGGTCATAATTTATTTTTAATATTATCAAATTAATAATATGCCATCCCCACTCCAACCACCCCACAAACCCTAATTAATTTTCAAAAAGTATCCTATTATTGCTTCAATTTATAGTCGGTCTCTTCCTCCTTAGCACCTCCGTCGACAAAAGGCGCAGTACCGGTGCCTAGTGTCATTGCTTCGTGCGCAACCACCGCAGACGAAGCAACGACAATGCGACAATCTTGGGCAGTTGCGATCTTCTTTGATCCCATTGTCGCTTCGTGCTCAGCGACTATCTACTTTATTTGTCCCTTTCGCTTATGTTTTCTCTTCATCTTTTGGTGTGGTGTTGATGGTTAGGCGTTGTAGAGGTGAAAAAAATTGTTGATTTTGATAAAGTGTTGGTGGCAGTTGTTTATACAGATGGTGGTAGTAGTGTGGTCATGGGGGGGGTGGTGGTGGTTGCGCTCTTTAGTGTGTTGTTGATTTTAGGAGGTGGTGGATGTGAGCATGAGCGGACGCAGGGGGTGTGGCCTAGGGGGTCACGTAACCCCCCAACTTTGCTCCCTCCTTTTTTTTACCATTAAATTTTGTTATGTTTTTGTTTCAATTTTTGAAGTCATTATGGGATGTAAAACGAAATCGAAATATTGCATTCTTAATATCATTTCGAAGTGCTCACGGTCTAATTTTCTACGTCGTTAATGGCATACGAAATGATCATCGTAGCAAATGTACGACTTGTCAAAGTAGGTCGTTCAAAATTAGTATTTCGAAAATTTCAATAACATGCTAATTTTAAAAATTTTCTGACAATCGTACGTTAATCGAATCTACAAATTGTTTTTATCATCTCAAAACTTATTTCGATAACTATATTATAGGTATATCGAATAGCTCAAACAGATATTGAAAATAGTTAAAGATACGTTAAACGTGAGTCTTAAATAAAGGAGTCTAACTCGCATTTTCTTTTAAAAAATTTAATTATTTCATTAACATTTATTATTTTTACAATACAAATTTCTCAATGTAATTTTCATCATTTTATTAGGAAATTTTATATGGAGTATGACATCAAAAAATTNTTTTTTTTTTTTTTTTGCTTACGTTGTTTGTAAAATTTATTTTTGACTCGTGTAGATCTAGGGTTTAGATATTGGTTGATTTGGTGACTTGAAAATTTGTATCTAGAGTTTTGGTTATTGGTGGTGGTCGTAGGTGAGTGGTGAAGTTGTCAGTGGTGGTGGGGTGCGGTGAGATTAATAGTGTTTGTAACCAATTTATTTGGGTTGTTGTGTCCAATAAATAATATGTAGCATAAAAAATATGAATTGCGACTAAATTTATAATCGCGACTCATAATTTCTTAAGATATGACCAATTAATTTAATAATTTGTAATCGATAAATAATTTGTGACTAATTAATTTTTTAATTTGTGACCGTGAAATAAATTATGACTTATAAAATTTGTGACCATAAATTATGTAGTATATGACTTTAATATATTTAATTAATAATATTTTTTAATTATCTACTTATTAATATATTTTAGTTATGATCTGATTTTTGAAAGTTTAAAAGAATTTTTTTATTTTAAAATTGTATCTATTAGTTAACTTAAATATGTAATCCTCCCTTTTTAAAAGATAAATTACTTAAAAATTCATTTAACTGTAAATAAATTCATTGAATTATAATTTTTTGGTCGATTCTAAGTTCAATCTTATCCAAAATAATTTTTTTTTCTCGAGTTTAATAGACATGATTAATTATGAGCTACCAAATGAGTCCAATATTGTTACGATAATATGGTTTAATTTAAAAATTAATATTACACATCAAGTAGTTATTTTAGTAAGTTAAAACTTAAATTTGGTTTATCCTGATAATTTTTTTTTCCACCAACAGAATAATTCTACTAAACATAATGTTACCCTAGTCTCTCGAGTTGTCAAGATGATTTTTTTGTTATTATCCCTCCTTCTCCCTCCTTTTCTTAAAAGAGGCAATCCCTCATTCACTGTTCATTTTTGTCACATGAGTTTTCACACTTGCATGTTTCCAATCCGATTTTGCTACAGTACGTAGCCATCTTTGTTGACTATTGCAGTTGAAATTATATAAATATCTTCTACATATCTCATCTAAGAAATATCTTCCAATTCATTCTTATCTCTCAATTTTCTCTCTTAGTGGCATCATGAAGTTCCTCAAGTAAAGTTCAATTCTCATTCAGTTCTCATATTTTCTGTGTACAAAACGTTTACAATCGTTCATATATTATGTATGTTTGCCACGATTTGAGTTTCAAGTAATATACTGCATTGAATTTCTAAGGATATTGGTTTTTAGCTGATTTGATGAGTGTTCTACTATATTGGGGTTCTGGGTCTATTGACTTTTGGGTAATGAGTTGTTGGAAATGCGATCTGAACATTTCCCTATGTAAG